TTTATTATGCTATCATGATATATATCTTTCAATATAATAAAGTATTTTGTATTTATTTATTTTTTAAGACAGTCTCACTATGTCGCCCTTGGTAGAGTGCTATGTCATCACAGCTCACAGTGACCTTAAACTCTTTGGGCTTAAATGATTCTCCTGTCTCAAGCCTCCCAAGTAGTGGGGAATACAGGCACCCACCACAATGCCTAGCTATTTTTTGGCTGTAGGTGTCATTGCTGTTTGGCAGGCCCAAGGTGGGCTCGAAACCACCACTTCAGGTATATATGGCTGGTGCCCTAGCCACTTGAGTCACAGTTGCTGAGCCATAAATAAAGTATTTTGAATATGGCATAGGAACTTCTCTGATAATATCAAACTATCAACAACTGAATGGAGTAAGGGAGAGAAGAAACTTCTGACTGCTAGTGATAAACTTAGTCAAAAAGTGGCTCCAACATTAACAGTAAAATTTTCTTACTAATAGATTTTGAAAAAGCCACATGATCTTATAAAGCTCTTCTGGAAAGGTGACAACAATTATCTGTAATTAGTTATATAATTGGTTAAACACCCTATTATAAAATTACAGATATAGTAGGTGCCAAAGATTCGAAACAGTGCAATGACTCTGAATTACAGAGAAAACATCTTTTTGTGAGGTGCCCTTATATCCACTTCATGTTTCACTCTATTGCACTGTGAACACAGTTATGAAAGTCAGTTATGATAACTGTGCAGTAGACAAGAATCAACTCTGAAAATGAGAAGTTTCAATGTTTTGCTTTGATGGTTATATTTTTTAAGATTGTGTCTTTCTAATCTACCATTCTACTTTAAAAATTGAGTTCAAACACCTGCATATACAATACGCATATATATATATATATACACACTCAAATACATTACAAAAACTGTAGCAGTCAATTTGCAACACTGATGAAATTTCCTGATTCATAGTCTATGTGCTCTGATTCACTGTATATATCCTTTATCATTCATCTCCATGTTTATTTTTGATTTCTCTTTTTTAAAATTGATACTCTCTTTCTAATCTAAATTCCTATATATTGATTTATATTTTATTTACTACTAACATATCCCTAGGCAATTCCTTGTGTGATACCCAGGGTGACCAAGCAGATCACTACTATATGTGTAAAGATTTAGCAAGGCTCTGGGACATGCTGAAATATCAATATCCTGATTTTCTAGCTTTAATTTCCTCAGCTCAATATACTAATTAATAGCATAGTGTCTGAAGCTAAAGCGCCTGGATTTGAGTATTGGCTCTGCCACTTGGGTGATAGTCTTGCTATTCAAACACTCTGTGCCTCAGTTTCTTCTGTTTCTTTATTTACAATATCTGACAAATGGAGGAAACTGCTTTATAAGGTGGTTGTGAGAAGCTCACTAGCTGATGAATGTAAGCATGTAGAAAGTGTCTGGCACAAAGAAAAATTCAATAAAGGTATTCTACCTTCCTCTCCTTCTTCCTGTTCCTACCTCAAATCTTAATAGTAAAATAATGTCAAATAAATTGTTCAATATATTAGTTTATTTTGAAAATATGATCTCAAGTATAAAATCTTTTGAATAAAATATCTGAAATTCTTTGCAATGTGTTCACAGTTAGTAGACATAATTTTCCAACACAAATCCTATGTTTGAGCAAATACTTTGGTTTGACTTAGAACTTTAAATGATTGTGTATTTCTTTCTAATTGCTGAACCTAACATAGGAAATGTATGCCATTCTTTGGGGATTGTAACACGTATTTTATGAAACCTTTCCTAAATTGTTCTGGTTCTCAATG